AGACACAGAAAGAAGGAGGAAAGATAAACAGAGAAAGAGAGAGAGAGAGAGAGAGAGAGAGAGAGAGAGAGAGAGAGAGAGAGAGAGAGAGAGAGAGAGAGAGAGAGAGAGAGAGCAGGACAAAGAGACTACAATGAACAAACAACGTCAAGAATTATGGGGCAAATCTGTGACAACGAAGGGAAACATTGGTGTAGTTGACGGCTAGCAGAAACTTGTCCGAGGGTGGTTGCTGGGTGCTCTGGTGTGGTCTGCTTCTTCTTTCCTATCAAACATCAATGGTCCTTATCTCCCCTCCTTCTTTTTTTAATTTTGTTGCTCTCTTGTAACACCTCTAATCTTCTTGCGCTCATATGACCATATGAGATTGCGAGTGCCGTAAAACCTCTACTAAAACAAGAAACTTGTCCTATATCAGTCTACAAAAGATAGGCGTTAGATGCCAGTCTCAAGCCTGTTGAACACACAAAGGGGAAATACAAAGAGTTGCTATCGATTACCTTAAAAGGAAACTAATCACATCTCTACCCAGGAGCCGCTCGCTTTTCCAATGTTTGACAATCCATTGTTTGATGAACGAGAGAGGTGGAATCACTGGCTGTTCTTTTTTTTTGGTAAGAGTTTTACGGCGCTCGCAACTATATAAGGTCATATGAGCGCGCTGGACACAATAAATATATTCAGTAGGTAGGAAATTTTGAATTTTGCCCTCGTGGCGGCTGAAGCCTACTCTTATCTATTTGGGACAATCAAGAGATCTTTACAGTGCGCTACTTGCACACGGGACCTCCGAGATTTTCTGCCCTTGTCCGAGAATGCTAGCTATAGATCTTACATACCATAAGATCAGGGGTGTGGCTGAAAGACAACAGTAAGAAGCAACCAAGGAGTAGCAATAGAAAGGCTGCAGAAAGAGTCAGGAGCCCAGAGGAGGGGGCAAAGGAGGTGGGGTGGGGGCAGAAAGTGGAGACGAAAGCAGACGACTTAACATTGCTAGAGAGCAGGAAAGGATGTGAAAGGAGAACATTTTATAGAGGAAAATTATCCGTCCCTATCCGGATTCGAACGCGGGAACTAATAAATGAGAGGCGAAAATCTTAATCTCTAGGCCACGACAGCCCCCTGTGTATGTGTGTGTATATGTATGTTTGTATATGTATATAAGTGTGTACGTGCGTGTTAATATTTGTAAGTGTGTATATACACCACAACATATAGAAATGTGTTGAGCCGCATACACTTGGACATTGTGTCCCGAGATCCCCGTCCAAAAGGAAGTAAATAATCGACTGTTTGCCCCCTCCCCCAGACAGTGAGATCTCAGTTCTCCCACTCAAAGCCTCATTTGCTCGTAACCAAAGACCTGTTCATCATTCAGGAAGGTTTTTGCTATGTATACGTCAGCCTTCTCAAACAGATCAGATCATTCTGTGACCACCCATTCATTTTGTATAGATTGTGAAGAGCGTAGAGCTTGCTGTTGAGCGAGGGTTTGCGCTCTACAAATGCTCTCTGTTAGTAGTAGTACAGGACCTTTCACAGAATGGAAAGTACTGGCTGTTAATGACCCCTCTCTGTCTCTTTCTTTCTCTTCTCCCCCCCCCTCTTTCTCTCCCCCCCTCCCTCTCTCTCTCTCTCTCTCTCTCTCTCTCTCTCTCTCTCTCCCCCCCTCTCTCTCTCTCTCTCTCTCTCTCTCTCTCTTTTTCTGTTGCAAGACTGCAGGCTACATTGCGTATGTTA